GCCAGCCACCTGCTTCAAGCACCCAGCATCCAGTCAGTGTCACGCCCTTTCTCAGGCCCCAGTCAAGATCCAGGGCCTCTGCCAAATGTTCACACATTCCTTGCATTTCTCCAGTCTCTGAGCAGCTGCTGCAGGGCCTTTTCTCCTATGTTGATTTATTCTTTATTGTTCCTGAAATACACCCAGAGGCCTTTGGCACTGGGCACTGGCAGCGCATCCAGCCCAAGCCCCAAGTACACACCAGTCAGGCTCTCTGAGACCTGGGCCAAGCCAGCCGGAATGAGAGGCCCCCCGGGTCAGACCCAGCAGCCTAGGAGGGAGACCCAAGGTCCCACCCACCCCCAGGCTGTGGCCCAGAGCTGATCCTAGGCCTAGGGAGGCTGGGTATTTGGGGAGTAGGGGACACTTGGAAAGTCTCCAGGAGGTCAAAGTAAGCCTTCCCACTCCTCCTGTGCATGCATGAACCCACCCCCAACACAGTTGACTCCCATGTGCCTATTGTCCTCCATAGCAGGGCCTCACAGCTCAGGCTGGGCTTCTGCCTATCCTGTGAAGTGTCTGGAGAGGAAGTCTTTCTCTACTTGTGCCAGACCAAAATATCTTCCCTATCAGCCAGTCTACTGGTGCCTGAATTCCTACCATCAGCACTTTATTCCAAGGGTCAAAGCACTGTTCCCTGTGCCCATGAAAATAGCCCAGAAGTGTGGGAGCTGCATAGTAAAAAGAAACAGAGCTTCAGGATCAGACAGAATGTGTCCTGGCTCCTCCAACCACCCTCCTCTCTGTGGGCCTCAGTTTCCCTATTGGTAAATGGGTACGATATCTTCATCTCATAGTTATTGTGGGATTAAATGAGCTTAACATACGTATGAAGTGCCTGGCACAAAGTAGGGACTCAATAAATGTGATTTCCTTTCCTCCTTGCTAGGCAGGAGCAGCACTGTGTCAGGCCCTAGCATCCTGTGGGGAAGTGAGTGGTCTGACTCTTCCAGTTCCATGGCTGGCTGAGCAGGGCTAGCCTCACAGGAGCAGGACAAGGAGACCAGGAATCTCAGCAATAGTGTCAGGCTCTGCAGGCATGCCCGGCATCTGGCCTGGGGACCCAGGAGGAGCACACCCAGCACAGGCCTTCCCTGCACTCAGCTGTGCCAGCAGGGCCTGCAGGGACATGGTGAGACAAGAGTCCCCAGATAATACCTGGTAGAGCTTCCAGGCCCCTAATGGAGCCTCCACCCTCCTGGGCTCACTCTAAGGAGAGCAATAAAAGGGAAAGTGCCATCTCTTGAGGGAGGCTGGGGAGGGGGGTGGCCACAGGAAGTGTGGGCAGGGAGGCCAGAAGCATGGGGTCTGCACGGAGCAAGCAAGCCTGCCCCAAGGCCACCACAGTGAAATGTCTGTCCCACAAGTGGAAGTGCCCGCCCGGTTATTTTTGGCACCTCTTCTGCCCAAAGCCAGGAAGGAAAGGCAGCTGCTAGCAACATGGAAGGGCTGTTTACGCTCCAGTGTGCAAGCACGGCTGCAGGCTAAAGAGCACCAGCAGCCTCCAGGCACAGGGCCTCTGCCCCTCTCTTCCTCTCCCACTGTCACGGTAAGGGCCAATCTGCTTGCTGCATAGCCGACATAGCGTGGGTACTTCTGCTTTCACTCACATCCAGTCTCCCGACCACAAAACTCACTCACACACACACAGACAAATAAATAACTCTGGAGCCAGATGAAGACTGAGCCACACCCCAGAGCCGAGACAGTATTCCTCTGGGCTCTTGCTGTACTGAGGCAGCCCTCCCGACTTCCAGACTGGGAGGGACAGGGAACAAGGGCAGGACACAGGAGAAGCTCCTCTCTCCACCCTCCTAGAGTGAAAGTGGAGACAAGTTTATGCGAACCTCAAGGAACTCACTGCTTCTCCCCACTTGGAAATGAAGTAGGTGGACAAGATGCCCCCAAATGCCTTCCGGCTGTGGTGACTCCTGGGTGCTGGGGAGCACAGGCCTATGACCCAGGGTCACCTGAGGAGGTCAGACAAAACAAGGTCAGGTGAGGAGGGGGATGTGAGCTGCAGCTGGGTTACACGCCCCTGGAGCTGCCAGGAGGCTGGGAAGTGGGGCGGGGGTGGGGGCAAGCAGAGAGAAAGGCCATCCTGAGGGCACTGCCAGGGGTGCCAGCATTTCTGAGCTCCCTTCTCATTCTGGGACTCCCCCAAAGAACTGGCAAATTATGGCAACCACAAGCTGGATTGGGGCCTCTGTCTGCCCAACTACTGGAAAAAGCTGGGAATTGAAATCCCTCCCCATTTTCCTTCCTCTCTGGACCCCGTTTCCTCAGAGAAGTTGGGTGGCCTCTAAGGGAACCCCCTTCTGGCTGCAAGCCTGGTACACTTCCCTCTCTCCAAGCTCAGGCCTGGACAAACCTTGCCCTGGCTGTTTCCTACCCCAGTCCGTGAGACTCCAGGAGGAAGAAGTGCAGCCTGGAAAAAATAACGCTCTCACCACGAGCTCCCTGTGGCTGGAGAGAAAGGCAGAGGGAACAGGGAGCACCTTCCCCAGCTGGCCACAGCACCAGGCCATGTTCTAGGAAGAGAAAGGGAGAGAACCACTGCCAGGGAAGCCTCGGCCCCCAGCCCCTCTCCTCCCCACCAGCCCCCACAAACCACAGCCATCAATCACATCCCTCAGGGAGACCCCACCCCCATCCCAGCAAAACCCCAGCTCTTTTCTGACAATATGGCAACCTTTTTCTTATATCTTGGTGCTCTCCCCATTCCACCCCTGCTATTTCAGTTAGTGAAAAAGCCAAAGTGCTCTTTGGTGGAACAACTCCTACCCCAGCTCCACCCAAACCTCCACTGAGGTCATGTTGGGAGGCTTCAGGTGAAGCAAAGACAAGGGGACTTTTTCCTTGGCTGAGAAAGCAGCCCTCCTTCTACCCACGTGAGCAGTTCAGCCTGCGGCCTGGGCGGTAAGTTCCCCAGAGCACAACCTGATCTCCGGGAAGCTAAGCCTCTAACCCGCAGCTGCAGAGACAGAATCCCTTGCAAAGGTACACAGATACCAGGGTCTAGGCGGTCTAGGTGAGAGTGGATTGCACAGTTGTGCCCCAGGGTCTAGGGAGTTAGAAAATGAGCTTCATTTACACTAGCCCCATTGCCTCAAACTGCCTTCCTTCCACAAGCAGGGTACCCTATGTTTCCTCTTCCCTGGGAAGAGTAAAAGGCAAAGAGCTCAACTTGGTGTAAATCACTGAATGATAGCCATTATCTGTTGAGTACCTACTATGCATGTCACTTAACACGCATGATTTGTTGAACCTTCAGAGCAACCCTATGAAGTATCATTATTATCCCCATTTTACAGGTGAGGAAATAGGCTCCGGAAGTTAAGCAATGCCCTAAGTGTCACAGCAAGTGGAGAAGCTGGAGTACGCACCCAGGCCTTGTTCCTGTGCACCAGCAGGCTTCCTTCAGAGTCACTGCCAGAGTTACTGTCCACATAGCACTCAGGAATGGCATTCTGAGTGTGGGGGCGGAAGTGGGTGTGGACAAGTTTTGCTTGGTGGCTCTGGAATCTGAATTGATGCTCTACTGTTATAGCTCCAAAGTGTGTGACTGTGAGAGCCCCTGTACATGTGTGTGTTGGGGGTGGAGGGAGGGTAATTGGGACTCCAAATAGTTTCCAAAACTGAAGTTATGCTGTAATGCTTCTGAAATGACGGTACAGTCTCAGGGTACCCTGAACATTGCTTCAAATGCAAATACACATCCCTTAAGTAAGAACTAGGGATTTCAGCACACCCCATCTAGCTCTAGTCCAGCGCACAGAGTTCATCTAGCTCAACCCCACACAGTCAGAGCTCTACTGTGTAGGAGCAACCTCTCCAACACAATGCGACCACAAATGCAGCCTGTAGTGAGTTGGGGAAGAATGCAGCTCCCAGGCTGCTTCTGTATTGATGCATGCACACACAACAGCAAAGGTGCCAATCGGGCCTGGCCAGGTTAGCAGATTCCCAGGCAGGAAGCTTCACACTCTTTCACCCCAAGGTCCCACTGGGGTCAGAATGACCTGCACACGCTCTCCAGGAGGCCATCTGTAGGGCAGTGCCAGGAAACGGGACTCACCAGCACCAGAATCACTGGTAGAACTAACCCTTTTGAAACTAATGGTGCAGCATGAGCCCCAGCCACGGGACTCACTGGGCCCACCATATGCAAGTCCACATTTTTTAAATGGAGGTCTTTCATCCATTTATTTGTTTAGCTAACATATTAAATATCTATGAGAAACCTATGGTGGGAACAACACAGTACATACACTAGAGCAGAGGCTTCAATAATATTGAAATGTCCTTTCAGCGTTTGACCGTTTACTATATACTAACTTGCAGAATCCCCACTCCAACTCTGTGAAGGAGGTGAAGAGACTCTAGCTCTGAGCTTTTTGACCATGGCACTTTAATAATGTGCACAAATGACTACATAAGGTAGAAATGAGTATTCAGAAAAAGACTAAGACATCTCAAAAGAAGTGGTGTTTGAAACAGAACTAGGATAGGCAGGAATCTCTAAGCTACTTGTGGCCACCCACACTCCACTGTTAGCAAGGTTTCCTTCTGGGAGACCCAACTGCAGGAGAGGGGCTCTCAAGGCCAAAGATTACCGGACTGGGCCCATTCCCCTTCCAGGGCACTATGCCCTGTACGTGCCTCCCCCCATCCTGCTCCCATTCCTCTCTTCTTCCATTCAGGGGCCCCGAGGCCCTGGCTCCACTGGGCAGCCCTTCCCTGGCTTCTGCAGCCATGGGAGGTCCCCAGCTGAATCTGTAACTGCATATTGTCTTTTTTTCCCCCTCCATTTATTAAAAGCAGCAGTCCACAGGGCTAAACACTCAGCCTATTTTTGAATCCCACATTTAAAAGTTGAATTCTCATTTCCATGGGACTCCAGGGTATTCTTTTCTGGGTGGAGGGAGATGCTGACAGAGCCACAGGGAGTGGGGTCCTACCTGGCACTTGGAGAAGCCACACTGCCGTAGGCAGGCTGTCCCAGAGCAGGCTGTGTGTTCTGGGGGATGCCTTCCAGGTTCTTCATCCTCTTGTCCCCTGGGAGCTCTCAGACCACAGTAACCAGCCAGAGGCCAATCCAATTAGAATGGAGACTGGGCCAGGGCCACGCAATGAGATAGCTTATCGCAGTAATTGAATGTTTATACCCCTATTATTCACTGTCCAGAGCAGAAGGAAAAAGAGGACCCATAAATTCTCAACTAGGAAGGTTTCTCCTTTCCCCCTTCCTCCTGAAGCCATCTAACAGCCTGGAAAGGGTACCCTTCCCTGATCTTAAAAAGGCAGGTGTCATACCATCCCTGGCAGGTTCTGGAGCAAGACAAATGGTTTCCTCCGCTAAGGAGAGGCTTCTTCTAAGAGCTGCAGTTCTTCCACCTTCCCTAGACCTCCAGTCTCAGCCCTGAAGCTGCAGGCACAAGGAGAGAGGCAAGACCTCCAGGCCGCTACCAAGCCAAGATTCCCCTACAGCAGCAAGCCAGACCTCCCCTCCCGGCCACAACTGCCAACAGGGATCCCCGCACACACGTGCCGCGGCGCCCTCCACAGCCAGAGAAGGCCAGCCAGCTCTCCCCCATCCTACTGGCCCCTATGCAGGATCCACAGGCCCCTATGCAAGGCACATAGGTCCGATGTGGGATGGAAGAAGCAGGAAGTAGCCACTAAAGCTCTGACCAACAAAGTTTTAAGTGAGGTGAGTAACTTCCCCTTTCATCCTCCCAGCAGCTCGCTCTGGAGGCTTGAATGGAATACCCAGTGGCCTCCACTTTGAGTGGCAGGTACCTCTCCAGGACTGCCTTCCTTGGGGCCGAGGCTCGAAAACCCCAAGACAGCACCAAGCTTTATCCAGAGGCTTGGGTGGGGACCCTCAGAAAGGCAATCTGGTGCACACGCTTCTTTACGTGTTAGTTGAGAGCGGGGTATGACTACCCCCACCATGCTGGCCATATACAGAGTCCAGGCGAAACCCAGGCTCCCGAGTTCCGGACAGGCACCACCAAACCCAGCACGCGGTGAGGCGCCAGGAGAGCTCTGCAGGCCGCAGCGGCGCGGGCGTGCGGGGGCGGCCGAGCAGGATGATAGGTCTGGGGTGCGCCAGCTGCGCCGGGGTGCAAGGGGTGAGACCGGCTGCCCGCCCTAACCGCCCCAGCTTAGGCCTCCACTACACTTGCCCCAGTTCCTGCATCTCTGTCCTCCGAACTCCCGGCGCAGGCACAGTTTCCATGTTCATTGTCCAGTGCACACTGGAAGGCGGGGAAGGGGCTCACGCGCCAAGTTCCCACAGCTCGTGAGCCCCCTGCCCCCGCGCCTTCCGGGCCTGAGCTCGGTCATGCAAGCGGTCCCTGCGGACACCACGTTTCGCTCATGCGGAGGAGGAGCAGCCGTATTGCTGAGGCGCCACCGCCGCCGCCGCGGGCCCGGCGGGTTGGGAGGCTTTTCCTGCCTGGGCCGCGCCCGGGTGGGCGGGGGCCGCGCGCGAGCTGCGTAGCTGCACAAACACGGCGGGCAGGCGGGCGGGCGCTGCACACGCAGCTGCGGGCCAGGGGGGTGCAGGCCGCGCAGGGAGAGCTGCAGGGTAGCAATCTCACGTACACACGCACACATTTCCCCAGTAGCCCAGGCCGCAGAAGTTGACGCGCGGCGTCCCCCGCGGCCCCACTCGGGGCGGCGCCTGCAGAGCTGCAGCCCGCGCACCGCGCTGCCACCACTTGAGCGCAGTCCGGGGTCCCTTGGCCGCCGCCGCCAGGGCGGGCTGCGCCTCGCCGCGTGCAGGCCTCAGCCGTCAGCCGGGCAGCCCCACTTACCCCGCTCCTACCCGAGCTCCAGCATCGGCTGTCTCCCTTCCGCCGCGGGCCGCCGCCGCCTTCGGTCGCCTTCCAGACTCCAGCCGCCTGCACGCACAACCAGATTTTAAAAACAAACAGGCGCCGCCGCTTCCCCGCGACGCTCGCAGGGCTTCTGCCAGCTCGCGCCTCCCAAGGCTGGGAACTTTGCTGGAAGGGCCCCGGCGGGACGTGCGGGCTGTCACCCCTCGCTCGCGGCGCAGGAGCCTCGGCGCACCCCGCGCCTGTGGTGTTCGCCTCCGGATCGCTCTCCCTCCCTGCGTGTCACCCCCAGTCCTGCGATGCAGTGTCAGGATTGCACTGCTCTGACTCATCGGTTGAGCTCACAGCTTGAAAAAAAAGAGAGAGAGGACGAGAGGCAACAGCGAAGGAGGAGGACTCTCTGGCGTGCTACAAAGGATTGCACAACTCGGGGCTGGGAGCGCGGAGCGCCCAGCGGCGGGCCGGTGCGCACGGCGAGCAGGAACCAGCTCTACCACTTCATCAGCGCAACCGTCTCGGGTCGGTCTTTCAGCCAGCAGGCCTGGCGCCGCCCACTTCCTGCGACCAAATAAGGCCTGGGAAGGCGTCTTTAAACCTCGGGCGGCTGCCGAGGCTGGGGATTTCCAGCAGACCTCACCTCCACTCCGGAGTCGGTCGCCACCCTCCCCCAGCCCAAGCCTTCGTCCGCTATGGCTTTGCTGGAACCAACTGGCCACGCGGGTTGTTCCTTTCACACCAAGGTCAGAAGGAGACGGTGACGAAATGTTTGGAAACCCTTTGAGCCTGCCAGGAAAGTGTGTGTGTGATGTTGGGGAGGACACACACAAGTCGCTTTCTTCCACAAAGAAACCTCTCTGGTTTGGATACGGTAAATCATGCACAGTCCTTTCCAAGGCACTAACAGTCTCCCCAAGTTTCCCTTTGGCTCAGCAGCATCCTAGTGGTGTAAAGGTTATTAGAAAATTGGCCCCAGCCCTTATGAAAGACCCACATCTCAATTACTTAGGTGATGAAAGGCTCCTGGACTTAATTATAGCCCTGAGACCAGAGCTTGGGGTAGCTTTTCAATGCAGGCCCACATTTCCCCTACCTTCCCTACTACCCTCAACCCCCATGCCTCCTTGCCTGGCTGGTGGGAAGATGGGAAACATTTCTGCTGCTCAGGAGGTTCTTGCTGGCCCCATAGTAAGGCTCCAGGGCCAGGAGAAAATCCAGGAGAGAGAGCCCATTTTTCCTGGTTCCTACCATTTGTTTTTGCTTTTTGCTTTCCCCAAAGAGATGGGTCAGAAAGAGATTTTCCTTTGAAGGAAAAACCACTAAAGAATAAATACGCTGTGTCCTGGCAGTCACTTTTCCCATGTGGCCAGTCCTGAGAAGCAAGTGCATCCTTTGCTTTCTTAGGGAGGAGGAGAGGGGCAGGGATTCACAGAGCCCCACTGAGCCAGCAGGGCAAGGGCCTCCACTCCTGACAAGCAGATGCAAAGACAACGCTCCAACTTTCTGCCTAGAAATCTCACAAAATCTACCCTTCTCCTCAGGAGCATGACCTTCTTGTCCTCTTCCACCCCTTTGCTGGCTGGAAAGGATTGCACCTCTGTGCATCTGAAGCTCACACCTCACCCAGGAGGAAAAGGGCTTATGTGCACCATGGTATGACAGATACATCAACGTAATGACAACCTAAAACAGTCTTATCTGCAATGTAAAGATAATGATGCCAAGAGACTGGACCAGCTGACCTCTTGAAATATCTTCGTTTAAAATCCCTAATTCTGTGATTGTAAAAAAGTACGCGGAGGAGCCAGGGAAACCACCTCCTACAAAGAAAAAACTAGGCTCTCAGAGTTAGCATCTGCTATGAGAGTATTGTTCCTGACAATTCTCAAAGCACATCCCCATACACAACCTACTTAACAATCCTGTATGTGAGAGAATTTTTTCCATTTGTCTGGTTTCTTCCTTCCCACTGACACATGCCTCATCCCAGTGGGGGAAGTAAAAGCAAAGCCACTTGGTTTCCAGGCCAGGTTCCAATGCAGTCCTGCAGCCATCCTGACCCTCCCCTAGGGCCTAGCCCCGAGAGCTGGCCTCGAGCCAGCCCAGAGTTAGGCCCTGAGAGTCCACGCAGACCAGTGTAGGAATGTTACCAATCAACCAGAAAACCCAGCTTGGGAGCACATTCCTAGAAAAGCCTGCCACCGTGGAGCCAGGGCCCAGCCTCCAGGAACAAGTGGGAGCCACTCCAAAGGGCGCTCCTCAGCCTTCTCCGGCCAGGACTTCCTCCCTGTCCCATGCTGGGCTGCTGGGCCTGGCCTAGTAAGCAGCACGGGGAGTAGAGGTAGGTAGCAGGATGCATGAGAAACAGAAGTGGCCTGGAGGAGCCCTGCTCATCTTGGAGCAGCACAACTTCCCTCCAACTAAACTTCCAAATTCAGGCCACCAGAGAAAGGAAGAGAGGGGGAGGAAAAGGGACGTGTGAGTGCTGAGGGCAGGGCTCAAGACTCTCCCAGGCAGCCCCCACCTGGCAGGAGAAGTCACCCTCCCACAGCAGGCAGATGAGCATGTGTAAGAAAGCTGCAGCTCTTCCGGGAAAGCCCTGGAGGTCGGTTTTGCTGCAGATATGACAGTGCAGAATCACTGGCATGTGAAGTGAAAGGTTTGGTTTTAGAAGCTCCAGCCCTTCCTATAGGCCCCTGGGTTACCCTTGGGGAAGAAAAAAAAGGGTGTTCCACGGACCTTACGCATAGAGTGGGCTTTTCTCCACCATCAGCCTTTACAAACTGCAGGAAAGCAAGGAGTGCAGAGCTCCAGCTCCCTGTGCATCTGCTGAGAAACCCTCTAGGAAGCAAAGCACCCTAGACAGGCTTCCAAACTCTGGGTCCCAGTGAGAGTAGAATATAGCATTAGAGAGGCTTCCTGGGACATCAGCTCTCTGGACTCCACTCAGAGTGATCCGTCGTTGCCCTGAGTGGCTATCCCCAGTGTCCACTTCTGGGACAAGCAAAGACTATTAAAGAGCTTCCAAGGGTGGAGTCTGTGGTATGTGAATTATATCCCAAAAAAGGTGTTATTAAGAGGGGGGAAAAAAAGCTTCTAAGGAAGCCAGGTTCCCACCATCCACCCCCTCACCCATCTCCTTTAACTTTCTGCTGCCATCACTTACTATTTAAAAGGGAGGTTCACTTCTCCCCAAGCCCCTTGCATGCATTCCTGTCCTTTTTCCATTGTCCCTTCTCTGTCAGGATCTTTCTGAGGGGCCAGCACATACAGTGTGTTTAAGTGAATAACCAACCTTTCCCGGAGTGTGGGGATTGAGTGGTGCAGATACAGTTGAAGAAATCACAAGTCTACAACACTGGGTGCCTCACATCCCTTATGTTCCGTGTGTCCTGATGGTCATTTTCCTTTGCAGAATAAAAGTACTACCTCATTACTCAGTTTGGGTTCTGCCTAACTAAACTTAACCCTCTGTGTGATCTTAGGAAAACTGACACTTACCTTCTCTGAGACCCATTTTTTGGGCCCATAACAGATGTACTGTATTTGTTACATGGACAATGAAAGAATGCCCACCTTCTAGGGTCTTGGGAGAATCATAAACAGAAAATGGCCTTATAACTGTATCATATTATATACCCATAAGGGGTTACAACTCTTATTATTTTTACTGTTTTATCCTATATCCCCTTCTCCCAAACTAGTTGCTTCTTTCAAGAACCTAGTCCAGACAAGATTTCCACCCCATGAAAAGACCCCAGGGTCCACTTCCATCAGCTCAGGTGACATTCTGCTGGGCTCTTTCCAAAACTGACTCAAGGTCCCATCTGGATACCCTTCCGAGGCTTCTCTTCCAGCCCTGCTCTTTGTGTCCTTTCCACCAAGCGTCCTCCACAGTGCTGCCCATCTAGCCTGTATAGGGACATTCCTTTGATGGCTATGCTTCCCCTAACTGCTTTTTGCCCTGGCCTTTCTGAGGAACTAGGGAGCTCAAAACCACTGTACTGTGTTAAGACACTGTGTGCTGAGAAGTCCCCGCACTGTCTCTTCTCTTTTACCCTTGAAAGCCCAGTGGGCCCTCTTCCTCAGTTAACATTTACTTCACCTGATACAGGGCAGGGCCATGCCTGTCCATGTCCCTTGGCCCTCCCCACCTACCCCCGCCTCCACCTCCCTCTTTTGCAGGCCTGGGCCAGGTTCTCAGTGCTTTCATCAGGCCTGAGAGGGAGCTTCTGCACATGTCCCCAGTTGCTGCTGTCACTCTGGGAGAGACGTCTGGCTGAGT